CTATAATATAATATAAAAAACTACAATTATATATAATTTAATGTCAACCAATTTATCATTTGTGTAATCTAAAAATTATAATATTTCTAACTGTTAATGTTCATTTGTTTTTTATAATAACTTAATTAAACTTAAAGAATTTGTTAAAAATATAATGTACAGATAGAATAATTAATAAATACATGAATTAATTGGGTGTAAAATTTATTTTTAGTAATTTGATAAGTCTTTTATATATAATGTTTTAAAAAACAAATAAAAATGACAAAACCCTTTTTAATCAATTAATTTTAATATTTTTGTCATGTATTATTTTATCTGTTCAATAAAGTTTGTTTTAGTATTCGATTTTAAAACCATTAAAATTATCATCAAATTGATCTGCTATTATTATTATTTAATTTGTTGTATTATTTATTTAACAAAATAACATATATTTTTTACTTAAAATGTATTTTTTCATAATTTTTTAATAAAACTAATATACTAACACATCTAAACAAAAGTCAAATTTTATTTTTTTTCGTTGAAACAAAAACAAAAAACATTGGATAACACTTATATAGAATATTTAAAACAAAATTAATACATTAGCAATACAAAAGTATTATAAATACTTACTTTGAATGAAACATACAATGTTTTAAAAAATGTTTATGTTGTCTTTTTTAACATAAAATATATAACTATTATTAAAATTGATGGAAAAGTTGAATGAAACTCAAAAAACAGTTTTAAAAAATGTATGATTTTAATACTAATTTATATAACATATTAATGTGCAGTTTTTATTGATTATAAAGTTGTTTAAAATGTTGTTATTTTAGAATGAAAATATTATATTTTATTATTATATTATGTTTTATAACTATTATTCGTAGTTTGATAATGAAAGGATGTATAATAAAAAATGTATATTAAATACAATTTGTATATCAATAAAAACTTGCATAAGTTTATGTTTTTTGATATAAATATCACTGTAATACGATGCTAATAATGGATTGAAACGAGATGTCAGCAAATCAAAACGTGTCAGACAAATAAATAGACAATTTTAAAAACAAATAAATAAAAATAAATAACTTTGGGTATATAAACGTTTTAATAAACTTAATTATCATTCTATGCGAACTCTGATCTTCTTATCATTTACGTTATTAACTGCGTTTTCAAATGATTGTAATCCACCCCTAGACAAGTGCTTATCATGCAAAGAAAATAATCCAAAAGAATGTGATAAATGTGAACAGGGATACTATGTTAAAGATAAAATATGCAAAAAATGTTTAGCTGGCTGTACTATATGTACTGGTGATACTACTTGCACCCAATGTAGTGATGGGTATTATCTTAAAGAAAACAAATGCTCAAAATGTTTAAATGGCTGTTCTAAATGTGGTAGTGACACTATATGTTCTAAATGTGAAACTGGTTATTATCTCGAAAAAGGTAAATGCACGCAAGAGGTAAATGCAAAGTATGTAAAACTGGCTGTTCAAAATGCAGTGATGCCACCAATTGTTCTGGATGTATTGATGGGTATTATAAAAGTCGTAAAACATGCACTACATGTTTGGCAGATTATAAATGTGCCACTTGTGTTGAAGACAAAACAGATATCAATAAAATCAAATGTACTAAATGTAATATCAATACCAACTACAAATACATGAATGGTAATAAATGTGACGATTGTTCAATTGGAAAAATCACATCAAGAAATACATGTGATACAACAGTAAATGCATGTGGAAGTGGAAGTAAATGTGCTGCATGTGTGGAAGTTACTGGAAAACAAACAATCAAATGCACCAAATGCGCCACACAAACTGATTACATCAATCTTGATGAAACATGTGATAAAACTTGTAAAACTGGTAAAGCTAATAAAGATACTATGAAGTGTGAAAAATGCACAATTGGTGGCTGCGAAACTTGTGAAACAGTTGCATCTGCTGAACAATGCACCAAGTGTGAAAACAAATATATTGCTACCGACAAACTTTCATGTGTTGATAAATGCACCACTGGTAAATCAGTTGATACCCCTATCAAAAAGTGTGATATGTGTGCTACTTCTAATTGTGACGTTTGTGATAAAGACGACAAGTGCACTAAATGCAAAACCGATTTTAATCTGGTGTCTGACAATTTGAAGTGTGTTGAGAAATGTCCAGAAGGATATAATACAGATAAAACTAATAAAAAATGCATAAAATGTGTTGTTGAAGGTTGCGCAACTTGTGAAAAGGTAGATGAGTGCACTGCCTGTATGGCAGAATACAAGTTGGAAGGAGGAAAATGCAGTGGAGCTCATACCATTTCCGCGATTATGGCTATGGTCGTTATGGCATTCTTATTCTAAAATTCTAAACAAAGAATTTTAATCATTTTTATTTGGATAGAAATTATATAATATATTAAACACAATGGTATATATTATATTTATTGAACTTATTATTAATTATTATGAATTTTTGGAAATTAATATTAACTATACAAACATATTTGAAATTGATATGATTTTTCAATTGTTGTGTTAATAATAAAAGTGTTAATATATTAGGGTTTATCCATGTAGAAATGGTAAATTACTGTGGTTTGAAATATTTGGTGTGGATAGCTTCTTATTTTTTAAGAAACCCCAATATCCGTTTTAAACTTTATGTTATATTTTTTAAATCAATAAATATTATTAATAATCATTTATGTGACGAAAATGATATACAAACATAAATACCCTCATAAGGAGTGTTTACAAATTGCGTAAAGTGAGTGGATAAACCCACGTCTGGAGAGAAACCCACAGCTTTTTTCTTTTTTCGTTCTTTTACAGGCAAAAAATCAAAAAATGTTAAGTCTTAGTTTTTTGGTTATTTAAGAATCTTGTTTAATGAAAAATATATATAGTCATGGTAAAAAAGGTTGTTGATTGAATATAGGTTCGGTTTATTTTTACATTTCAATAAAAGTTACACTTGTAGTGTACCTTTAATTGAAGTTGTTTTCCCTTCCAACAGAACCCAAAAGAACATATTATTCCCATCCAAACCAAAAAAAATAAATAGAAAATGGAGGGAAAGAAGATTT